ACTTGGCATCAACATTGGAAATCTGAAGTAACTGTTGATGTGAAACTGTGACATGATCAGCCAGCATTGCTGCTGTGTGTCATGCCCTCATCCTTGGGCAGCCAGGATGTTTAAATTTGGATTGGGGAGGTCATGTTTCAGTGGCCACTTTGGTTACAAGAAGATTCCTGTATAAATCTGGCTGGGCACTGTCTTCCAGCTTCAAACATTTTTTTCATGGTGGCTACAGACAGGATTTTTTAAAAAAAGGAACAGCCAAAAACTAAGAGTGTGTGTGTGTGGGTGTATATGGACCATGAACAATTGTGTTCCAAGTATGATCATTCCAATATGTGTGGTTTGATAGCCTCCACATAAGAGGCATGGAATTTGAACTCATTCTGTACCGCTGCATATTCATTGGTACCGAGACTTTGTACATTGTTTATCCAAACACTGGTCTCCCTTTGACTCTTACTGCAATCTGAGTACAGTAGAACCTGATTCATACCAACAAAAACGGGGAGGGAGAAGAGAAAAGCATTTTTGGCAGAGGTTAGGCCCTGGCTGGATAAACACAGGGGCTTATTTATAATCCAAAAGCAATGAAGAGCAAGTAGGCAGCCCATGTAAATCAAGGCCCCATTGAGGAGAAGCAAGGAGAGACCAACTCTAATTCAAATATAAAGGCATTTGGGAGGTGCATTTCCTAATTGCACCATTTTCTCTTTTCTCATCAACCAGACCACACAGTCTCATTCTTGTCTATTCTTTGGCGGTTCCTTAAAAAATTCTCTTGGGAAATTTTTAGTATTAAGTAAACATCATAGAAAGCAGAGAATTGGATTGCACGGTTTTGACTTTCTTAGTTTTGCAAGAAATGACTGAAATCTAGAACTGGATCTTACTAAGGCAGTTATGATAAGTGTAGCAGCTGCTTCTCCTTTTTAAGATCTTCATTGCAACATGGGATTTCAGAAGAGAGAGTGTGTGTGTCCAAGATGCACTTTTATAGAATAATGTAAGAATTAAACATGCCTTTTTAGTAAGGATTTGATTGTTTGTGTTCTGACATATTCTCACCTGATCAGATTTCTGGATGGTTGTGATTTAATGTATCTATGGGTGATAAGCCTGTTATTCAACAAATTAATAAGATTTTGACATGACCCAAAATTAGACATAGACAATCCCTGTCTGGCTGGAGGCTACAAATTAATTCTGCAATGAGTGTAAGGCTGCAGGATCTTTTGTGGTGAAAATTACAGGTATAAAATCCAGAGTGGAAAGGGAAAAGTTGTCTCTCTTAAGAAAACACCTGTCTCTGAAAAGTCCCTGAGGCATTGATCCCAAACTGTTGGGCTGTGGTGACATTTGACAGCTTGACATTGTAAATTGTAGGCACTTTAAAAAAAGTAAAGTGGCTGGTGTAAGAATGGACATGCCCATCCTCAAAATGGCTGCCACGCTTGCTTTGCCCATTCACAAAATGGCTGCCAACCACAAAGCATTAGTGATTGATGGCAAACTATTTTTTACTTCCCTTTCTACTTTCCCTGGATGCATCCTAACAATCAAGTATGCCTTTAACACTATTTTCTAGACAAATAGGTGTCCTTATAAACAAAGCACTGGGCTACTGTGATCACCACTTTTACTTCTAAGAATGTTTACAATAGCAATGCATAATCTGAGAGCCATAGTCTGTTGCCTTCTTTGAATTCCGCCATTTTTTTTAAGGGGGAAATTATGGACAATTATATATGGACTATATTTTATTAATTAAATTAAATGTGTTATTGTGTCCCTTTTTCACTCTAGCCATGTTCACTTTTTTTTTTTGCAGAGCTTTGATCCCCTTTCAGCCTGGGGGCGAAAAAAAGCTAACCTGTGGAATTTAAGACACTGAAAATAAAACACCAATTTTGGAAGCTAATGCCTTACGTTATGGCATGCCAGCTTCTTTTTAAAGTTTGATTTAAAATTAAACCAGTCTTTTTTTTTAAAAAAAGCTGGCATCAGGAGAGGTGTTTTTGGGTTTCTTGCTGTCCAGGGTGCCACGTGGGGGTTTCTATTCTTGAAACAACACATTTTATATTTCTGGGCTTTTTGTTCTTCGTGAAGAATCCTGATTCTCCTTTCTTGGCCAAAATTGAGGCAACATTTGGATAAAATTTTAATTAAGGCTGGAGTCCAGGCGATATACCTTGTGGTAAAGCAAGAATTTCTGCTGTGCTTTTGCTGCTTCAGGCATGCAGAACATGAAAAGATCACAGTGGACAAAGGCAGGCATGCTTATTTTGGATGTCTCTTGAAATAATCAGTACCTGTAGATTAGGCCTTTCTAATCAGGTTAGTCTGATACTCTCACTGGAAAAAATAATCCCCATTTAGTTCACAAGCTTCCTTTGATTTGTCATTCGCTGTTGGGTGTTTCAAATACTTATGCCATACTGCCCTCTCATGTCCATTCTGATGGAAGCCTCTTATCGTATATATTCATAATATGATTTTATTTCTCTCATTCCCTTTTTCTCTTGAAAGAAAACACTTTGATCAACCTTCGGAAAACATTTTGAGGCTGGGTGATTAGTGGGCTCTTAACTTTTTTTTTTTTTTTAAAAAAAATCAGTTTTAGTAAATAACACCCCCCCTCCCCCAACGGTATATTAAAAGACAAAAAAAATCCTATGGCTATATTTTAACAACCATTTTGCAGGATATTTTTTTTAATTACTTACTAGTTGAGTGTGATTTCCTTCAGACTGCTGTTTATTTAAAAATGTTGCTTTCCTCCCAAATCCCCAGCCTGTCACTGCAAATTTAATCTTTGATGAATAAATAACTATTCCTGTACATCAACTAGAATATCTCCTTCAGTGCTTTGAGTTATATATCTTGGTTTTGCTGATTCCTTTCCCTTTCCCACTTTTGGGGCTACTGGGGTGCTTATATTCTTGCAACTGCAAAAATATTGGTTGAGCGAGGAGTTATTTGCCATAGCTGGAAAGATCAAACAAATCAAAACATGGTTGAAAGGTAAAAATCTCCTTGAACTGAATTTGAGTTCTAGAGACTTTATGACCACGGATATAGCCACGTAGCATTTTTGGCAGTAGAAGATAAGTGCTTTGTCATTGCCTTCATCTATGATTTTTATTTCTTATTCTAACCCCAAATATTGGACTTTGCTTGTGGTTTCCCATCCATGCATGAACCAGATCCTGTTTCAAGTTCAAGCAAAATGGGCTAGAAACAGCCACCAAGCTGGTCAAATCATTGCTAGGATTTCTCAAGTGTGGACATACATATTGTATGTGTGTGCATATACATGCAGTGTAAACAGCTGTTAGGAAACCAGACATGTTCTCTTTGCTTGTTTTTCTCTCTCCCACACTTATATTCTAACTTTTCCACTTACCCACTCAAACCCTTCTTCCTACAGACCTCAGTATTTTTATTCTTGTATGCCATTGGCACGCAGTGGCTCAGACGCTGAGCTTGTCGATTGAAAGGTCGGCAGTTCAGAGGTTCGAATCCCTAGTGCTGCGTAATGGAGTGAGCTCCCGTTACTTGTCCCAGCTTCTGCCAACCTAGTAGTTCGAAAACACATTAAAAAAAAACGCAAGTAGAAAAATAGGGACCACCTTTGGTGGGAAGGTAACAGCATTCCATGTGCCTTTGGCATTTTGTCATGCCGGCCACATGACCACGGAGACGTCTTCAGACAGCGTTGGCTCTTCAGCTTTGAAACAGAGATGAGCACCGCCCCCTAGAGTCAGGAACGACTAGCACATATGCACGAGGGGAACCTTTACCTTTACCTTATGCCACTGAATTGAACCAGTTCACAGCAATTTACAGTAGAAATCAAACTAGAAATCCAGTGAAATCGAACAGTAATATTTTGTAGGATCATAATAATGATAGTTGTAGCTAAAGTTTCATCTACATGGCAGCAAATTGGAACTGGAAGGTGTTTTGGAAGTGTTTAGAGAAGATGGCAGGACCTGGTGGAGCCTTGCCTCTCTGGGAGGCTGTCACACAGTGTTGGATTAAATACTTACAAGGATAAATACTACCTTCAGTAGCAGCTCACAGTCTTGGGTGTGCAAGGAATGTTGAATATTTCCCCCTGGATAAATGCATAGGTCAGGCCAGTCCCAACTGAAAAACATGATCTTGAAGATATTTGGAAGCTAATCCATCTAGGGCTTTATAAGAGAAAACCAGCTTCTTGAATTGTACCTAGAACTCACAGAAAACTAATGCAGCATTTGCAGTACAGGTGTGAGACTGAATTATTTCCACTCCAGCAGTTTTCATATTTTGACCTATTTATCCACTCCTCCATAGTAGATTGATTAGAAACATCTTCTAAACATGTTTTTATAATGCCCCATTTCAACAATTTTATATATAGCTCTATGTTTGTGGGCAGCAGATTTCCATTGCTATCCATTCACGATAGCAGGGACACTGACACATTTTTCTTTTTTTTCTTTTAACCTATCCCGAATGCTGTAAGATGTTTGCAGGATTGCAGCAATCTTACCCCTGAAGTCTTGTCATAAATCTCATGAGATTTTGGTCAAATCATTATCGTCATCATCATTATTAACAACAACAACAACATTTTAAGAAGGGCTAAGGAAGTTCCAGATGCCCATGGACATTAATGGATATGATGATCCCTCATATATGTAATGTGAAGCTTTTTCGGTAGATTACTGAACAGAAATTCATCTATTATTAATGAGTATTCAAATGCTTGTAATCGTTCACTGAAGAAAACACAGGTAGTCTAGATAAAGTAGTAAATGGTGGTTTTGATTTTGGTTTGGTTTGGTTTTTTATGCATGGTCATTACCTGGATGCCACCTAATTATACTCTTACTAGACTTGAAAATTGTCCATTTTTAGACACAACTACATTATGAGCAATGAATCCGTTTTTTGGACAGAAATCCAGTTACCGCATATTCCTAACATGCTGTATTATTTTTTTTTATATTTTTTAGGGTTATATCCTTCATCGTGACCTCATGGTTTAAGCGGGCATAAAGATGAGTATAAGCAGTGATGAGGTTAACTTCCTCGTATATAGATATTTGCAAGAGTCCGGTGAGTAATATTTATCTGAGGAATTCATTTTGAAACTAAGAATTAAGATTAAACTGAAAAAAAAATTAAAATTCATTTTAGCCTGTCTGACAGGATTAAAGAGAAAAAAAGTACTGTTGTGTTGATTCACAGTGATTTTTCCATAGCCTTTCTTCATATATATTGGTGGAATGGCTTTAAGACGTGAAAATTGGAAAGACAGTGCAGTGTTTCCATTCTTACTTGTAAATTTGTAACCCAAGAACAGTTGCGTTCTGGGGTCATTTAGGGTTTTATGTTGCCTCAATTGCTGGGGGCTGTCATTGGATATCTGGAGTACAGAGTGACCAGTTGGCTGGTCACTTAACCAAGCACTGGTTTCCACCAGAGTCAAAAATAGCTATGCAGATATTTGGCAGTTGTCTGAAGGAAATGGAATCTAAAGAAATGGAGTTCCATAAAGTTAGTTGCTGCTCATGCCTGAGAATTATCCTTTCCTGGAAGAAGTAACATTTCTGCCAAAATCGGGCCTTAGGGACAAGGAATGCTTGTATCCTATAGCTCATGCACCAACTACAGCTCTATCTGAACCAGGATACCCTAGAATTGTGATGGCGAACCTATGGCATATCAGTGGGCACGCCAGTTCAGCTCTGGGGCGCATGCGCGCACCGGCCAGCTGATTTTCGGGCTTTCTGGGCCCACCAGAAGTAGGGAAACAGGCTGTTCCTGCCTCCAGAGGGACTGGGGGTGGGGAGGCCTGTTTTTCTTTCTCACCTGGCTCCAGATCCTCTCTATGCACTCCTAGAGAGGCTCTGGAGGCTGTGGACAGCAAAAAACATCACTTCCTGTCCAACCGGGAGTTGGGAAATGGGCCGTTTCAGGCCTCCAGAGGACCTCTGAGGGGGTGGGGAAGGCTGTTTTTGCCCTTCCCAGATGCATAGAGAGGATCTGGAGCCAGATGAGAAAGAAAAACGGGCCTACCAGGCCATTTCGTGCCAGGAGTGGGTGGAGGGAGGGTTGTGTGTGCATGCGTGGGGCGCATAAAATTATGGGTGTGGGCATGCATGTGCGTGCAACTCCCCCACCCCCCTTCCTGGCACGCGATAGCAAAAAGGTTAGCCATCACTGCCCTAGAAACTCCCTAATAGCCTCCTAGTTAGATGAATTTATGTGACGTCTGTCCAAGCAAGCAATCCAAAAATGGCATCTGGAATAGAGAATATAGCCAAAGTTTTTATAGGAATATAACCAAGGAGTTATAGCAGTTAAATTGTTGAACTAGCTTAGGAAAGCAGAAAGATTAATTTGTTTGTTTGTTTTGATCTAATTTATATGACCTCCCACCGCATAAAACAAACAACTCTGGATAGCTTACAACAACTTAAGCTATTTCTAGAAAAACTTCAGCCACAGAATCTCATGGATGACACTCACAACTCTCTCCTCTACACCCCTAATTGTTATGGGGATATATAGTAGGGTAAGCATATATGTTGCCTTGAGTGCCTCTTATAAAAGATGGGATATAAATTTAATAATAAAGATTGAGTGGGAAGAGTTAGGGCCCACCATTTGTATCTCATTGATAGTAGTGGTGAAATCCAAATTTTTTTAATACCAGTTCTGTGGGTATGGCTTGGTGGGCATGGTGTGGCTTGGTGGGAGTGGCAGGGGAAGGATACTGTAAAATCTCCATTTCCACCCCACTCCAGGGGAAGGTGACATTTGCTGGTTCTCTGAACTACTCAAAATGTCAGCTACCAGTTCTCCGAACTACTCAAAATTTCCACTACCGGTTCTCCAGAACGTGTCAGAACCTGCTGGATTTCCCCCCTGATTGATAGGTATTATTTACAGGAAGAAAGCCTTCTCAGTGGCATCCCCCAATTGTAATTGTTACTACTGTTTTCTTGTAAGCTGTTTTTTCCTTCTCTGAGAAGAAGAGTGATACAGAAAAACAACAGTAACAGCAACACAATTTTAGCCAGAACTGAGGTTTAAATTTGTATACTTCCATAAAACATCTACATAATGCAAATCGGTAAATCGGCATATTTTCAACATTTTTTTCTGGATTTCAAATCAATTTTATATTAAATATCTGTGATCAGATTCCTAGAGTGACTTTAGCAAAGCTTCTTATTTAGTGTTACTAGGTTAAGAAAGCAAATTTATGTTAACTCATGTAAGGACATTGAGGGTTATAATTAAGAAAATTTATGTATTCTTAGATTTTAAAATAATATGTATTTTTATGATCTGTAGACTGTTTAAATAAACTGACTGATTTTTGGTACATGGTTGGCTGACAGCTGCATTGATCCTCTTTTTTAAAAAATCATCAAACCAAAGCAATGATGCTACAGAATTCTAATTCATCAAATGTAATTACTGATGATGTTCTGTCCTCATTTACCAATGACTTGTTCAGCAATCATTTGAAGTTACAATACTGCTGAATGAATGGTTCTTAAAACTGGCCCTCAAAGTTCCAGCTATCATAGCACCCCCGCAGACACGTGATTGCAATTCAGGTGCTTGGCAAGCATTTATGATGGTTGCACTGTCCTGCAGTCTTCTGGTCACCATTTGCAACTTTCCTTGCCAGTTTCCCATAAGCAAAGTCAATGGGAAAACCAACAGCAAGTCCCTCTGGCTTTCCTGCACTTATGCAGTGCTGCGGCATCCTCAGGCTCACATGCATCTCCCACATTTTTTTGTTTGGGATCCCCATCGCTTCCCCTCTAATAACCCACGCATCTTGGGATTACAACAGAAGCTGTGTTTGTTTGTTGCTAAATCAGGGGTGTCAAACTCGATTTCATTGAGGGCCGCATCAGGGTTGTGTTTGACCTTGGGGGGGGGCAGGAGGAGTGGCCACCTTGACATCATTCATGTTGTGGGTGCCTGTGGTGGCCCCTGTGGTCTGCTAGTGAAAATGGAGCTTGGGAGGGCCGCACGCAACCCTCCGAAGCTCCTTTTTTCCTGGCAGACTGTGGGCCGGTCCTTCATTGTTTCCAGGGTGGCCGTCGGGCCAGATCTAAGCACCCTGTGGGTTGGATGTGGCCCACGGGCCTTGAGTTTGACACCCCGTGATGCGGATATGTGACATTGTGCTCAACCACTACATCATTAGGTATGGCAATCCTAATCGCATTTCCTAATTGAGAAACAATTAGGAAACCGCATTTCCTAATTGTTCCTTGATTGAATATCTTCTTGGTGATCAACGCTACTGGTTGATCAAGATATGATGTTGTGTTCGGTCCTTTATTCCTCTGTTCTGTAAGGGCTATTAAGCCAATGGTATTTCTTGGTCATCTGGCTAAAAGTTGATTTATGTTTTGTTTTATTTTAGTTGAAAGTAATGGCATACGTTCAATTTACAGATGAAACAGAGACTTTTTATTTGACATGACATAGCAAAATGGGAAACGTATGGCTATGCAGATGTTGCTTAGCTATAATTCCTAGCATGCCTCCTTGTTAACCATGCCCGGCTGTATGATTGTGCTAGCTGACCTTATATTCCCCGTTCTATGTAGAAAATGCAAGAAAGAGTAAAATTATCTCTGTCCAAACCAGTATTCATCAAGTTTATAGACCAGTGTTTCTCAATCTTGACAGCATGCTGGCTGGGGAATTCTGGGTCTTGAATTCCAGACAATTTAAAGTTGCTAAGGTTGAAAAACACTGTTATAGACAGCAGGCTATTTAATTCTTGGATACTGTGCTTGAGTATACATTCAGCTGGAAGGATCTGAAAGACTTTTTCTGCAAAGTTTGAAATATATTTTATATGTAATTGGGGGGAAAAAAAGATGCTAGTCGGAGGCAGTCTGATTTGCATTTCTTTTAATTTTTGTCAGTGTGAGAAGAAAATCTTTTGCCTGTTGGAAATTCATCAACATATATTTGTTTATTTAAATATCTAAAATCTCTCCCCTCTCTCTCTCCCTCTCCCTCTCTCCCTCTCCCTCCCTTATCTCTAATGCCATTATTTTTCATCCTTCTATTTATTTAAACAAACTTGAGACAACCTAAAGGTCACGAAAACAGGAGTAAAGAGCTCCGAATCCCTTCTGTTTTCATATCTGGATGCAGTATAACTTCATTGTTCAAGTAGACAGGAAAGTCATTTTAGGAAAATGGCTCTAAGATAACCCATTGTGGGAGTTGAAGTAAGCAGGTTATCTTTAATGCAGGAAACAGCAATTTAATATTTCCTTTTAATCAGGGACAAGGATACCTGAGAATTCCACTAATTGTTTCTGGTACACAGTCCCAAAAAAAGGATCTCGTGCCTAAGTTGTCCCTGGCTTTATGTGGAAGGATTCTCTTCTCCAATAAATTGAATGAAAATCCACAGAGATCAATTTTTTTGTATTGTGAGAAGCTGAATACTAAGGATTAATGTGAACTGAAATAATACAGGGAGATTAATAATAATAATAATAATAATAATAATAATAATAATAATAATAATAATAATAATAATAATAGCAGATCTGTCATTTTCTGGCTGCAGGTCACTCAGCCTTTTGATTGTCCCTGTCTGGCCCACAGTGTATGTGGGTGGGAGGTAGCCCTCCATAACAATTCTAGTATCTTGTGTGGCCCCTAGGGAAATCAATTGCCCTCCCCTGGTATATAGGATTAAAAATGTTTTGCCAGTTTGAAGGTGTGCCTGGCTTCTAAGATGGTATCTTCATTTGGCTTGGGTACTTTCAAAGCAGGGATGCGGTGGCTCAGTGGCTAAGATGCTGAGCTTGTTGATCGAAAGGTCAGCAGTTCAGCGGTTCGAATCCCTAGTGCCACATAACGGGGTGAGCTCCCGTTACTTGTCCCAGCTTCTGCCAACCTAGCAGTTCGAAAGCACGTAAAAAATGCAAATAGAAATATAGGGACCACCTTTGGTGGGAAGGTAAAAGCGTTCTGTGCGCCTTTGGCATTTAGTCATGCCGGCCACATGACCACGGAATGTCTTGGGACAGCGCTGGCTCTTTGGCTTTGAAACA